CATTTTAACTAATTATTATTTTTAGGAAACTAATGTTTTTTACAGTTTCAGTATACATGAAATACCCGCCTATCTACATATAGAGAAGAATTATGATGTATTCTAATGCTTCTAACACTTGTGTTTCCACTAAATGATTTGTTAGGTACTATACATCTTAGAAATAAATGATCAGATTTTCTAGCACAACGAATGTGTATCTAGCTGTTACTTGTAGTACTCTGTTCATATTCCATTTTTTTAAACTGTAGACGTGTAAAAAATATTCTATTATAGTAGGGATAGTAAAAATATGAAAATGAATAATCCTGCCTTTCCTATACACCGAAACTGAACAGATTAAAGTTAGATTAAACATTGAAATGATAAAAATTCTATTGAAAAAGAAAGTGTTCAAGTAAATTTAGCTGACAACCAAGCAAGTATAATGAAATTAAAACCATCAACGGTAGAATAAAAAAATATGTATGTAGTTCTGGTATGGGACTTCTCCTCAGTGTGCATTTGCAACCCTGCATCCGACAGTTGAACCCAGGACCAATAGTCTTTAAATAAGACCACTGTATGACTGTAAATCTATGAACGTTCTACTACCTCTAGTAAATCGTGTACTCATAATAATCATGAGCTCACTAATAACTAGCTTACAGATAAGATTCCAGAACTTATAGTGGAAAGCTATGACTATTGGAGTACAGCCAAGTCAGATATGAGACAGTTATCCTTTGTAGCCAATGGCAGATGGTTGAGGTAACAAAGGACATACTTGATTATCTAGTTCATTTGCTTTATTCATCATACATTTAAAAATTCCAAATAAATAATATCATCTTCCTCGTATATGCATTTTTCTAATGACAAGCCGTAAAGTTTATTAGATCAACTACATTCCCCGCTTCTTTTTTAAACATCTTTATGACTACAAGTTTGGGTTACTTATGTGCACGTGAAGTAAAATATCAAACATTTGAATGAATATCATTAAAAGCTTGTACTACCCAACATTTTATTATATTACCGAAATATACCAAGATATACATAATTATTATATTTCGATTTCAATCAATATAATTTCAGCGGTCAACTCAACAGAAGTACTTCTGCTGTTTTTTGACCACTAAGATGTTTTCGTCATTTTTTGTAATAAATTACATATAGCATATTAATCCATGTTTGTATTGGTTGTTTGACGTTGTTCAAGGCAATATCAAGTAGTCAGCACAGGATGCACATATGCTAATAAGAGACTGATTAACTGCGACCCTAAAAATCAGTAGGAAGACCCAAACAACCAATACAAAAATGAATTAAAACTTGACCTCATTACACAAGCTAGTTACTATCAGGATTCAGTAGCTAAGTGGATAACGTGATAGCGTTTGAAGCAAACTGTACTGGGTTCGAGTCTCGGAGTGAACATCAACTTTGGGGTGTAGGTACATCCAACTGATGAGTTCCAAATAGAACGAAACAAGCATTCTGGATTCCACTCCTATCTATCATCCATCTCTGTTTATACATGTAATATAGTACGAAAATTCGTTATTCAAAGACAACTTCAATCCCAGACTAAGATATCATGAAAAACCAATGAAAACGTATCCACTGTTCATTCATCAGTTTATCATAACGTTCGGTGTTTCATTACTTGTACCCAGACATAGTGAAATCAAGATTCAAGTAGAAGGAGTTACTTATTCATAAAGTCAGTCTAAGTATGTATATTAACTAAGCGTTTCGATTAAATTAATAAAGCACCTGATTACTTTTGTCAATAAAACATTTATTATAAAATTTATCAACTAATACCATGGTTTCTTTACTAAAGTTAACAATATTTAACTTGATAACTTCAGGCCTCCAAATGCCCTGGTACGGCCGAGAGTGGAGAGAGTTAGCTCTCCCTCTCGAAATCCTCTCACATGGCCACGTGCATACAACCACTGCCAGGAAAGTCCTACTCACTGCCTTCTCACGCTATGGGTATTGTTTACGAAATCGAGAGAACAAAAAGCGAATGTCCAGCGCTTTAATCCGGTTGGTAGATACAAAGAGTGTGCACCTAGGTGAGTTGGAAAACCGTGATTTCAAACCAATGTTGCCCATAATATCGAGGATCCTAATGGAATAAATGGCGTTTGAATCAATTGTTGGACACCGAATACTATGGGAATGCATCTCCTGACGTTGCTCCACTGCCTTGTGGATCAGACCTTTAGATGGAAGGCTCTAAGTGTGGCCCCCGTATAAAATCAGCTGTTTCTTTTGGGCACCAGGGAAGTATCGCAGACCTCCTACAAATCGAATGATTTATGTGTTGCATATCTATTTGATGACTCCTTGTACCAATGTTCATGTGTTCAAATAAATAGGAATAAATTATAACTTCAGATAAAATGGACTTTTAGCAAATTGATTTTCATAATAGCAGTAAAAAAATAGTCCATAAAGCCTAGATAAAACTTAGCTTAGCAACATACACAAAGTTATCAGAATGTTAAAAATTCAATATTTTCACTTATCTAATATAACTAAATATTATTAAAATAGAAATAATTTTAATGAACTAATTCTCATTAATCATTAATAAAAAAACAGTTTTCTCCTAAAAAAAGAAAGAAAAAAAGAAAAAAATTCATTTTTTTTTCCAGAACGAATCATGAACTCATTGAAAAAAATCGACCAATTAAATTATTTTTCAAAAAAATTTCTATATTTTTAATTTTATGTGATACAATCTGTTAACAATGAAAAAATGAAAAAAAATGTTAAAAGTTTATTTGATTACTTCTATTTAATTAAATAATTTAATGTTATTTAAAAGTGATATTTACTATTACATCATTATTAGAAGGGATTTTGTGTAGGTTTAAGAAATTTCGATACTTGAAACCATGAGTCATTTAAGGCTAGGCCACCATGGAAAACCTGGAGGCACTGAACGGCTGTTTCGTCCTAGTATGAGGCTCCACAGAAGTGTTCATCCACGAGCCCGTCCCCTGTGAGATTGATAAGTTCTGGGTTCGAGATCTTGTATGCGCACTGCTGAAGAGTCCCATACTAGGAAGAAACGGCCATCCAGTGCTTTCAGGTTTTCCATGGTGATCTAGCTTCAAATGACTCATGGTGTCAAATATTACATCATTATCAATGATTGATTTGAACGAATTATTTAAATATGTTAACAATATTCACGATAAAATTAAATTCATGAAGAAGTTGCAATCTCTTGAATGCAAATGAACTTTTCTAAACTGTTTTGTTGAAAGGAAATATAATGATTGTTTAAAAATTATTTTCCAAAAACTGGCATATTCAAGGAGATTTGTAGATTTTAAGTTAGCAAATTCACACTCAATGAATGTGACAATGACCAAAAATTTGATCACCAGAGTTTAAAAACTTGTCACTGAATGAAATGATATAGAAATGGAAATGAATTTAATCATATTCACTTTGATGATAAGTAATTATCCAAAGGATTTTATTAAAAGAACAATTAAAAACGAATGATGAAATGATATTATTAAAGAACTTAAGCAAAAAGAATGGGCTAACACAGTGGTGATCCCATATCGTAAAGGCATTTTAGAAGAGATCAAAACGATCATAACTCTTCAAAATATAAAAAGTATTCTTCCGAACAAACAATACTCTAAGATCAAAAGTTGTGAGAAAAAAGCGTACATTTTTATAGAGATGGATGGTGGTTAGCAGTGGAATTCAGGACGCGCGTTTCGTTCAATAAAGGTTTTGTTTGTAGGATGTGCCTGCATTGCAAAGTTGATGTTCATTCTAGATTCAACTGACGAGCCTCTGATAAGACGAATCCTTATTCTGGATTCCAATGCCAGCCACTATCCATCTCCGCTTATAATGCTTGTGACTCAAAGCAATATCGAAGCAATCCTTATAAGATGCACATATGCCAATAACAGACTGATCGATTGCAGTCCTAGACATCAATGGTAAAAGTCAAACAACCAATAAAATTATCAATAAATAGACACCTTGAAAAAATGAAATATCAATAGTATCTTAATCTGCTATTAGCTTTTTTCAAATAATTAAGTGAACAAACAATAGACTAAACAATTCAAAAGTCTAGTAATAACCATGTTTTTAAACTCGAAATGCTTGATGTATTTAAGTTGAGAGGATATATACATATTTCAAACATTGGCATAAAATCAGCGTTGCAAAGCCTTAAGCTTACTATAAGAAGATCGTTTCATGATATTAATAGAATATTGAAATCATTCTTTATTAAACGCCATCAAATAAATGTTAGATTTAAAACGTCAACCCATTATTATTCGGTCTAATTTAAAGACCCTGTTGATACTGATCAATTGAAAGTTAGTTTTCACTACTCATCAGCAAACAGAGAGCTTTGAACAAACATTGTTTCCTAGTTAAAAACATATCAACAGTCCTTACTCAATAGTTCAACTTCAGTCATTCCAGTCTCACAATAGATATCATAAATTTAATGATTATAAAATTATATATTACAGTATACTTAGTTTGATAATGAATAAAATGAAACTAATGAACTCTTAATAATTAGATTTTTAATGGACTATAAAAAGAAGTCTCATTTTATTTAATTTTCTAAATCGACTTAAATTTATTGGTGTTTAAATGATTGTCAAGATGCCTTTTTTTCCTTAAACTATAAATTTCCCAGAAAACATAAAAAGAGTAATTTAATCAGTGATACATTTTGGTGCTTATTTGCTTGTTAGCTTATTATAACCCACATGATCATCTCATTTAACTTGTTACTATCAATTATGAATATAATAATTCAATGACAGGATGTTCAAGTTAGAAATATCTAAAAAAAATCTTAACAAAATCAATACAGTTAAGATAAACCATAAGTGTACATCTCACATTATTCATATATATTCAACATTAATTAAATCATCTAATATACTAAAGAAAGAGAAGAAAACTATATAAATATTACTGAATAAGAAATAAATCTAACTTACTTGTACTTCAATCCCAGCTAATGCTATTTTTGCTTTACGTATTTCATTCTCTTTACGATAAATATCATCATGCATATTCAAGTTTGTATGCTCAGTTTGAGTATCAAAATCAAATCTTGAACAGAAAAGAATTTTAATAACATGTTTTGTAAATATGAAATATATAAATCATAATGTTGATATGTTTATAGAATGGATACATAATAAGTATTTCACTAATGAATAATTTTGTCTATTATTTTTATAGAGTTTTTGAAGATTGATAACATTTTATAGTTTGTACGACGAATCGATCTTCTTGAATAAGCCATCAAAAAGCAGAAAACATTGAAAAAGTTTTCGTCGTAGCATGAAACTCTTCAAAATCATACATATGTGACCTCAATGAGATTTAAAGTGGGACTTTTGAATATAGCTATGTATGTGTTCTACTAAGACTATTGGATTGGAATCTAGTAGTATACATGTCTAACTTCAATCAAATCAATATATTGGTAAAACACATTTCTTTTTTTTCAATGTGCAGCAACAATGCACCTGATATAGTTATGTTATTAAGATAGACTAAGGAAACTGTAAAACTTTCAATACTTTTAAATCCCCTATTAAGATAATCGTGCATTCACTAGTAACTAGCTTCAAGATGTCAATACCGGATTTTTAGCGACAATTCCTGACCAGTGGAGTTTGAAAAAGTCTGTCATAAAGCGATTACTTACTGAAAAGAATGGAATGTGTTTTACCAATATATTGATTTGATTGAAGTTAGACATGTATACTACTAGATTCCAATCCAATAGTCTTAGTAGAACACATACATAGCTATATTCAAAAGTCCCACTTTAAATTTCATTGAGGTCACAGATGCATGATTGTGAAGATTTTCATGCTAAGACGAAAAAGTTTCTAATGTTTTCTGATTTTTAATGGTAAATCGAATACAATCGGTCGATGATATATACTGAACCGTTTGTCTAACCAAGAGATTTAGTTATCACTGAAATTCCCACTTCGAACAAATAAATTTCTAAACATTAATCTTATCTACTATCTGTGTCAAGAGATTTTTAAAAACGACGCTTACGTTTTTCGAAAAATGGCAATAAATTTTAGATATTGGATTAATATAATTAATAAGACCAATTAACCCAGTGTTCATTTTCATAAGTGTATGCATGTTAATTCAACTAAATAAACATGGGGAATCCAATGATACTCATAACGTTTTCTATCTACCTTAGCAATATCCTATAGAATAATAATTAAAATAAACTAATAGTTGTTGTTATTCAAACGTTAGTAAGTTCAGAGAAAACGTATACTATTAACCAAATAAGTTTCGTTAACATTACAAAACTATTTGTGTTAGAGAAAAAAAACATCAACGCTATAGTTCAAATCTTCACGGTTTATACTTGGTTTTATTTGATCAAATAAAGGTGAACGAAACAAGGCAAAAAATGATCCATATTCATATTACACTACATGATCACTGAATGTAAAGTAATTTTAATACATGAAAAATCATTATTTTACAATGAAAACTTTAGTCGTTATTATTAAATATGTTTCATTTCCTCTGAACTTCACAACGTTCAAAGAAGTCATTAATCACAAGCACATATGAATATTTAACTGCATTATGTAATAATTAAGCTTACCAAATTAATTGTGCTTAAGCAAAAAAGAAAATTCTGTAAGTTTCAACCTCGTAACATTAATAATTCTTCCCTTAAACTAGGAGACTAAAATTATTTCATATCTTTCTTTCTGTACTATATCCTTACATAAAATCTTCCTTTATATATTACACCATTGAGTTAACTGTTTCTATGAATCCGGTGTTCGTCATGCTGTACTAATAAGATATGGCAACTTGGACCGATGCGTGGATTCGCCTGGTCCTACATTATAACTGACTGACTCTTCAATGTCATACTAACTAGATCACAAATTGATTTTAATTTACTCATTTTTATCCATATCTCAAAATTTCACAAAAAAACCATATTTAAAAATAAATTTTTTAAGCAAAAACAAAAGTTTTACTTTTATGAAGGTATAATATTATCATAGTGTTGTTAGCAACTACAATTATAATCTTGTCAATATAGTATCCATCTGAAGTATAAATCTTCATTACACAATAGCATGTTAATATAAGTATACGTACAAAACAAGTGAAATATGCAATTCGGTTTTTACCGATTTATCGCTAGTTAGTGAAAAGCCTATATATATATATATATATATATATCATATCTAACCAAATACATTACATTTCCTTATTACGTTCAGGTAATTTTATCATACCTATTTTGATCAAATAATAAGAAGAAAAATACAATTCATTCATTCATTCACATTATCAATCTGAACATCATACTTTTTTTAATAATCTGTCAATCAGTTAATTATACAAACAGGAAATACACAATGTATTCATGATAGAATGAGATTGTCATAACCTAATTGATAAGCTTGAACAAAAATAAAAAATAAATTTATTACTTTTGTTTATTTGAGATGAGCTGCTAGAAACATTGAATAATTAATTAGAACTGTCTATTTAAAAAATAAGTAGTATCTATTGCAATAATAAAATCTTTGAATCTCTATTTAATAAATATGGATGTATTTTTCCCCCCAAGAGCGGATAGATCACGTGTTTTTACAAAAAAATATAAAAAACGTTTTTCCCTATGTTTTTAAAAGTAAAACTTTCTATGTTTTCTAACTTTCGGTTAAATGACGTAATTAGAAAGTTAAAGTTACATAATGACGTCACAATGAAATCTCTACACAGGAAACAAAACAAAAAATCATAGAATATTGATAGAAATAAATCTATAAAGTCAAGCTTCATGTTTTAGCTTAAACAAAAACTATTGGCATTTCAGTAGGAACGTATATTCTCTATTGAAAACAACAAGATTGAAACCTTGATCTGAATATCAGTTTGAAACAGAAGCTTTCATTTGTTTTTTAAAGACTATGTAAAATATGGTGCTTTCAAATGCAGTGCCGCAGTTATGCAATTCTACATTTAATATAATTAAATACAGTTTTTTAAAAGTAAATAATACTTAAATGTGAAATTTGATTAACATTTGTAGTGTTATTGTAGCTAACTCCAACCATATTTAAGCCATGAATCAAATGCATTTTTAAATGTTGGTTACTATTACAAAGCGAAAACAGAACATGTTTGTATGTTGTACTCTTTATTGAGTGTATATGTTTTATTGTGTTTCTAAAACTCATCGGAAAAAAATGGAATATATGATCAGGAATTTAAAGTTCTCCAACGCATGTGACATAAACTAATTATTAAGGTTTATTTTACGTTGAACATTGATCATGAACTTAAACTTTAGTAAAAGTACCCATAAGTTTCCTAACTGTTTTATTCGATTATATCAAGCAACCATCGTATTATTTGCAAACTGAATAAATCATCTGTCATAGCGGAGTGTTTGATTCAAATCTCTCTGACATTATTTTCATCAAGCTTAAATATATGACTTGTAAATGAGTGTTAGCCAACGTGAAAAAAAGTGTACATCAATCATTCTATGACAATATGACCTATTCTTCCTCTTACAAGTTTTTTTAAGACAGTTATTCCGTTTTACATATCTAGATAATGCAGAATGAAAATGGCATTTGTTGGAAACTTTTATTTTCATCAATTAAACGGTTACATTTTTTACATTGTTAACCAACATGTTCTTTTAAACAAATAAAATTCAGTTATTTCGGAAAATCTGTATGAAAATATCCAATCTTAAATTATACTAGTGTCATGCAGATTAACTTAATATTAATATTTGAACAAATATCTTTAGGCCAAAATAGTGTTCTATTTAACATACAGCAATAAACCACATCCTTTTGTACATAAGTATCTATTATATTTAATCATAATCACTGATTAGGATCTTATTGCTTGAACCAAGTTAGACATCACTTGGTCATTCTTTGAATATCCATCTAATGTATATAGACTAATTTCGAAATCCACTTGATTAATGCTTGACATACTTTTGATGAGAAAAACTTTCACAGTTAACAATCTTGAGTTTAGAATAAGTTGTCATTAGAATACCAATTGGATATCATTTTGATAATATTTCGTGGTGTTAATTCCTTGAAAAAAAAATCTAGATACCTTCATGGTGCATTTTATCTGTCATTTAATCAAAAACGTATCAGTGAAGTAACACTTATCACTCCATCTTCCTAATTATTCAGAAATTTTATTATGGTAAGAGAAAACGAAAAGAACATTTAAAAACAATAAACAAATAACATTCTCTTATTAAATTAATACATGAATAATAAATAATAGAAATAGGTTATCCCAATATTGGATTTAGTAGAGCTTACAGTTCACTTACTTTACCAATTACTTTAGTTTGTTCGAAATCAATTACTTATAGAATTCAGACTGTTCGAGATATCCTAAAACCAAAGCATGAAAGCCATTTTTTGTGTGTTTAGGTCAGTTATAAACATTCAATTGTTATTTTCCATATTTATGTGTTATGTTTATTTTTAATTAAACATTTACAACGCTAGTTACACATCAGTTAGATGGTTTACAAATTCTAATTTGTTTTATTTAAATAGATTTTTTTCTGTAAGATAACCAATGAACGTAAAAGTAATTTAAGGCGGAACTATGATTTACGGACCTACCAATCAGATTTACGATAACAGGTTTTCGATTTCCGAGTGAAATTCTTTATCCATTTGACTAAATAGCGTCTTGAAACTTTATTTGATGTCATTTTGTGATGAAAACGCGAAACGTAATTTCTAACCATAGACATCAAATGTAAATCACAATTCTTATCTTTCACACTGGTATAAAGCTTCATTAAGTTCTAGTCAGTAGGTGGACACTCTTAAAGTCACTTCAATGTTCCTCATCGGTCATCCATAAATTATAGTTTCACTGTTATCCAAAACAATAAAATTTTTGATAAATTCCCTACATGAAAACATCTCTTCAGATAAACGTTTTTTTTCTAAACTCTGACCAACATTCACTATTACTAAATTCTAACTTAATTTCTACCTTCATATTTATTTCAAATTTTACTTTGATGA